CCAGTAACCCGGCAAGCCCTGCACCAACTCAGAAATAAAAACAGGGAGCAGAATTCAAAAGCTCTTCTCTCTACCACTGCAGGAGGGAATAGAGAATAATGGACCACAGCTGTGTGTATGGAGCCTGGAAAGTTTCATATCCCTGTGCCTGTTTGGTTCATCACTGCTCTTTCCCTGAAACCAAACACAGATGAATGCTGGCTGGTCTCTAAGCTAAAATCCACTCGATCACCAGTCCTATGGGTTTTTACTCCGGTCCATTTCTCTAAATCTGCCCCAAACCTCCACTCCCACACCCACTGCTGTGGGGTGAGCGTCATCATCCCTGGGATGCACCGTAACAGCACCTGATGCTGGGTCTTGCTCCTGCCTGCATCTCTGCCCCTCCAAAATATGTCCTCTTATTTATTCTTCATAACTTCAGAAATTACGAGAAAGCTACAGTAATTCACGGTGCAGTGCTGATGAAGGATAAACAAATAGATCAATGGAATAGACCAGAGAGCTCAGAAATGGACCCCCATGTAATTTTCAACAAAGGATCACAGTAACTAAGTGGCTGGGCTAGGTGCACCGCACCCCCTCAAGCCTTCAACTCTCAGGGCTTACTTCCATCATAGTCTCTGGCACCATCTCCTAAAGGATCAGTTCCACTACTAGGACTGTGTGAGATCCTCAGGAGGAAACAGCGAATCATAACTGACTGCATTCTCACTTCCCGGCACAAACTTTGGCACAAACATTTGGGTGAACCAAGGAATCTGCTTGGAAGAAAAAAAAAGGAAGGAAGGAAGGATGGGAAGGGGGAAGGGAGGGAGGAAGGGAGAATCCTAAGGGGCAGAGAAGTGGTGGTGGCCCCAGAAGAAGAGGCCTGCTGGCAGAGATGGGAAAAAAATATCTAACAGAAAGAAGAAAGCCAGCTAGGGCCCTACAAGGAGGCTTGGGGCTGACTTACAAGGTCCTCCAGGTTGCCAGGACCTCCAAGACCCTCCTTTTCCAGAATGCGGCTCCCAAAGCCCCCCTGCTCCTTGGCTCCAGACGCGGTGGCTAACTTGGTCCCCTCCTCCCCCTACACCAGCAAGGCCAGCAGCTGCCTCTGAAGTCCGGTCCCCACCCTTCCCATCCTGCCTCGGCCCAGACCCAACTGGGGCACACACGTGCCAGATTCCAGAGTTCAAAAATTTGCGGCTCCATTTGTTACATGATTTAAAAGAAGAAAAATCTGTTACCCAAGTTAAAATCCTTTTTCTATTAACATGCCAAGCATAATCTGTTTATAAACATATGATATATTTTATGTTCCTTGAAAAAAAAAGACGTAACTTCACACCTACAATAGCTGTTTAATATGACAATTTGTTTCACCCCCAGATTACTTTTCTTTCTTTTAAAAAGAAATCAATCAATGGGAATTCCCTGGCAGTCCAGTGGTTAGGACTCAGTTCTTTCACTACGGGGGCCCAGGTTCAGTCCCTTGTCAGGGAACCAAGATCCTGCAAGCTGCACAGTGCAGCAATAAATAAATAAATAATAATAAAAAAATTTTAACCAATCAAAGTCTATCACATTTTCCAACCACAACTGTTTTCAAGGAGCAAGTAGATCTCAATGCACTAAGCTGCACAGCAGAGAGACTGGGGTCTCGGTGAAAGGGATAAACAACAGTGCCCACAGCATCTACAGTGCACCATAACCCAGGTAGTGGGCAGGACCATGTCTCCTGCAGATGAAGCGGTGGGTTCCACGAGTTATGTGACTCCCTCAGGTCAGGAATCTGGTGAGTAGCAGATCTCTGGCCCCAGAGCACGTGTTCATTCCACCCTCCAGACTGTTCCAGCCCTTAAAGTTGACACCTGCCCTTGAGAAATGGCAAAGGCAGTGAAAGTTTAACAGAATAAACAGCTGCTAACAAAGAGAAAACAACTCTAGGCTAAATCCCTTCTACATAATTAAATCAGCCCCTCTTGCTGGGGAGGTTTTCAGAAGCAGCATGCATGAAACTATCTACAAAGGAAATGCAATTAAGGAGAGTCTTTTTAATATACCCAATTCTTGACTGCCCTTGCCCTAGGCAGAAACTTAATTCTACTGAAAGATAGCTGTCATAGAAAAGTTGTTATGTAAATTGTAAAGTAAGGGGAGAAAAGACACAGGAACCATTTTACAAGGTAAATGGGAAACTGGCTGAGAAGGGAGCAGTGCGGGTAACAGATCTCCAGTTCACAGCAATGACCATCGTGGCTGGCTTACCATCAAAAAGCTGGACCTTAGAGACCAAATGCGACTCCATCTTATCATTTATTTTACCGGCTCTCCTACGTTAACCCAACAACCAAGCAAAACAGGAGACTCTTTTCAGGAATTAGCTGACCGCAAGTTAACAGCAACGTATTTTAAAACGTGATTTTTGGTCACTGATTACACAGCTGAAAATTGAAGGAAACTACAAGTGCCAGGTTTAAGAAAAAAAAAAAAACTGTTACGTAAACTCCAGAAGAGGAGAGGTGGGCAGTGCACGTCCTGTATCATCAGCAGTAGCCCAATGTCTTGGGAGAGGGAAGGCACCAAACAGAGAAGAGAGTGTAATAGGGAAGAACAAATCTGACTCCATACCGGATCTGGGTTTTTTTCCTTTAAACTTTGTATTCTATTGCTTTTGCTACAAGTTAAGAATGTTGCCTAAAATATACAGGTTAGCCCATTCTCAAGGCTCTGACTTTTAAAGGTACAACACTTCTCCATTCACACAAAGATAAAAAGTCATGACACACAGGATACCATTTGTCTTGGAGGTTTATAGGAACACTGTGACCAGACCTAGGTGCACAGCTGCGAGAACAACAGATTCCGGCACCAAGAACTTCGCAGCAACCAACCAAACGCCCTCCACTTTTGGTATAAAAGAAGGCTGAATTCTAATTCAGGTAAGATGGTTCTTTGGGACACTAGTCCACCATCTTCTCGGTCTGCTGGCTTTCCAAATAAAGTCACTATTCCTTGCCCAAAAAACTCATCTCTCGATTTATTGACCTGTCGTGCGGCAAACAGTACGAGCTTGGACTCGTAACATCATCACTGTCAGAAAGAATGCCTGGCATAGTTCAGGGCTCCTGACCCACCACTCCGGCTCTGGGTCTGCTCCATCACTACACACACACACACACACACACACACACACACTCACTTGCAGGAATCTGACACAACAATGGGATGAGGGCAGGACCAAGGGTCAAAGGACTCTTTACCATCCCTACCTGGCATGTCGAGAGGAGTGTCATGCAAGGCTGTTGGCTTGAACTGAAGAAGCCAAGAAAAGTGCCCCCGGGGTTTGGGCACCGAACACCCAGCAAACATAAGCTCTAGGTGTCTTCTGCAGCCCTCAGCATGCAGGACACTCAATATAGCTGCGTTGGTATGAACCCGTAGGCTCAGAAGATGAAGCTGGAGGGGCAGTTGTGGAGGGTAAGCCCTGCGACACTAAGCTTATATTCCCGAAGTCACTGGGCTCTGCAAGGGAACCAGGCTGGAAGGGGGCAGGAGGCGGTCAGATAGTTCATTCATTCTTCCATTCAATAAAGGCACCCTGGGCACCCACTCGGGGCCAGGCACTGATCCAGGGGTTGGAAGTACAAGCCAGGCAGGCACCCAGAAGTTTGGATTTCATTCCAAGTCAGAGGAAGTTGATTTTTAAAGCCTCAGCTCTGCCATTTCTAAACTGTATGAAGTTGACCTCTCTGAACTTTTGTTCCTCGTCAGTAAATGACACACAAATTAGAGGTGTCGGGAAAACTGAGTAGCAAAAAGCATGAGGTCAGTGCCCCAGTGTGGATGCTTACTGTTAATTACACAGGAAGGAGCCCCAAGGTCAACGTATAAGGGCTTTGACCAGGTGTTCAGTGGAAGATCCATCGCAGTCCTGCATCCAGCCAGCAGAAAGGCCGCGTCGCCCAAGAAGCCAGGGACGGCTGCCTGGAGGAGGTGCCATGTCATCTTAACTTTAAAGGGTGAGGAACAAGGGCCCACAGAGCTAGGCGGCAGGTAGAGGCTAAATTACAATTTATCGGGCTTCCCTGGTGGCGCAGTGGTTAAAAATCCGCCTGCCAATGCAGGGAACAAGGGTTCGAGCCCTGGTCCGGGAAGATCTCACATGCCCTGGAGCAACTAAGCCCGTATGCCCCAACTACTAGACCTGCGCTCTGGAGCCTGCGAGCCACAACTACTGAAGCCCGCGCACCTACAGCCTGTGCTCCGCAACAAGAGAAGCCACCGCAATGAGGAGCCCGCGCACCGCAACGAAGAGTGGCCCCCGCTCACCGCAACTAGAGAAAGCCCGCGCACAGCAATGAAGACCCAACGCAGCCAAAATAAATAAATTTATAAATAAATAAATCACAATTTATCACAGGGTATTACTGGGTTACCAGCAGTAACCAGCTAACCCCTGGTGTTTATGGCTCCCTCTACAGGACACAAAGAAACTTTCCTTCAGCAGCTCGGTGGAACCCTTTCCCTTCAAAACATCCTGGCCAAGTACAAGGGTCTAAAGGAACTATCCATTTCACAGAGGAGGAAACTGAGGCCAGGCAACAAGGAGGCCGAGCCAAGGCCCACGCGGCCACCGAGTCGGCAGCATCGGATTCGAACCTCCCGCCCGCCAGGACGCCTGCGCTGGGTCGCTAGCGCGCGCCCCGACCCCTCCCGTTGCCCCGGAAACGGCCCCGCACGCGCGAGCGCACTGCTTTCCCTTGCTCGTTCTTCCGCTAGCACCCTCGTTACTTTTTTTTTTTTTAATAAAAACCCAAGGCGGCGGGATACTGCCAGCGATTTAACGTGCCGTCGAAGGACGCCGCTACGTCCGCTCTCCGCCCTGGGCCGCGGATCCCTCCGCCGCCCAGCGGCCTGCGCGCTTCTACCCGACTCCAAGCTCGAAACGGCTTCCCGCGCGCCGCGCCGCGCCCCACCCCCACCTCATCCCCACCCCAACCCCCAGCCCGGCTCACCTGCCGCCCGCGTCTCCATGGCAACGCCCCCACCGCGGAGGAAAAAAAAGCCTCGGGCTCTTCTGGGCCCCCTCCCGCGCCGACCGAGAAGGCGGGGCGCTCCGCTGATGCTTCGCTTTTTATTTTTATTTTTTTAAGAAAAGAGCCGGCGCGGTTATGGCGAATCTGCGGCATCCAACATGGCGGATGGAGTCTTCGCCCTCCTCTTCCCGGGGCGCTGACGACGGCGTCGCGGACGTCAGGCTTGGATGACCCTCCCCCAGCGGCGAGAGCGGCCGGGCTGGGCCGGGCTACTGCGCATGCTCGGCTCCGGCGGTTGTGCTTTGTGTCCCGCTCCGCAGATTCCGTAGCTCCGGGTTTTGACCGTCACCTGGGAAGGGGCTAACGAGAGGCGTGGAACGCAGATTGGAGGATTGGGAGTCTTCACAGTGCTGCCAGAGCCAGCATCTACCTGCCGGCCCATCCTTGGACCCACCCCTGCACTCCACCGGGCTGTACGAGGTTAAGGCAGCGCTGCGGTCCCAGTTCCCAGCGATTTAACTTTTCTTGGCTTTAGTTTACTAATTTGTCAATCGGGGCGGTAACAGCCTGCCTCCCTCTCAAAGGTTGCAGTGTTTCCTGAAGTGGGATGCTTTCCGCTAGGAGTACCCGACTTGATTTAGTCTTCCAGACTGAATTAAACAACTGGAACCGCCTCGACAGAATGACTGCCTTATCTTTGTCCTCTGGTCTTGCAGAAAGTCTCAGTTGGGTGTGAGCACGCCTCCCTAACCCTTGCTCGTCTCCCTGAATCTGGTTCACAGTCTTCTTTCTGCAGGCAACAGTATCTGGTTGAGATGTAATGACCTCGTCTTCCTTTTGGTCTACCACTTCCTTCAGATCTCTGCTCAAATGATATCTCCTGGTGGGCCCTCCCAGACAACCCCATACAAAGTAACCCTCCTAGGTCACTTTCTGTTTTCTCCCTAGTATCAATTACTGCCTGACATTAATTTGTCTCCATCTCGTCTTTGTCGCCTCTTTGGTCAGAATCTAGAACAGCCTGACAGTAATTTATTGAATAAATTGAGTTCCTGTTGCCTGTGTTTTTAAGGTTAGCTTCTGTTTTAACAATGTTTTTCATTTATGGTAGTAATGTATAAAGTTTTCTTTTTAAACCCAACTTATATTTTTAAAAATTGGTCAACTTAAAGTGGTGCAGGACCTTCCTGGTGTTCCAGTGGTTAAGACTCAGTGCTCCCAGAACTTCCTTGGTGCGCAGTGGTTAAGAATCCGCCTGCCAATGCAGGGGACACGGGTTCAAGCCCTGGAGCGGGAAGATCCCACATGCCCCGGAGCAACTAAGCCCGTGAGCCACAACTACTGAGCCCGCGTGCCGCAACTACTGAAGCCCATGTGCCTAGAGCCCGTGCTCCACAACAAGAGAAGCTACCGCAATGAGAAGCCCACACACTGCAACAAAGAGTAGCCTCCACTTGATGCAACTAGAGAAAGCCCACGCGCAGTAACGAAGCCCCAGTGCAACCAAAAATAAATAAATTTAAAAATACTATTTTAAAAAGTATTAAAAAAAAAAAAAAAGACTTCATGCTTCCAATGCAGGGGGTGTGGGTTCGCTCCCTGGTCAGGGAGCTAAGATCCCACATGTTGCGTAGCATGGCCAATAAATTAAAAAAAGAAAAAAATGGTGCATGTGGTACAGAGACAAGGCCCCCAAAAATGTAAAAGTGAACTTCAAGTGAGAAATTTGGGAAATACTGATTTATTTTTATGGTTCTCTTGAAGTGCTAATCTGTGCCTGTTGTCTTTTCCTGGAATAGCCTTCCCTCTATTGCTGCTCGACTTGAGAAATTGTCCTTCAGTTCATGCCTGTGTGTTCCCACACTCCCACTCACACCTCTCTTTACCCTCCCCACACCCGTTGCGTTTATCTGTTTGCTCAGCCCCCTCCCCATGAGCTAGACCATGAACTTCATGAGCACAGATTTTTTTTATCCTTGTTTCCCAGCTCCTACTGCACAGAAGTGTCACTCAGTGAGCACATTTGTTCCCATTGTCACTTGTTTTCCAGTTAGTAAAACTCCCATGAACACTGAGCTTTAGGATGACGCTCTGATTTCTCATGAATATTCTGCCTTGCTCCTTAATCCTGTTCTTGGGAAATAGAGTCATTATAAGACCCCAAATTTACCCAGTCCATTAAATATATGTTCAGGGATATCTCCTCCCCCAACCCCTTTGTTTCATCCTCACAACAACTGGAGGGCTAAATTGGACAGATCTGATTATCGTGCTTTCCTTGAAGAGAAAAGGAATGTTCAGAGAGGTTAGGTGGCTTTCTGAGATCACACAGCAAGCCAGTGAAATCCCAGCTGTGGAACTGGACTTTCCATGCCCAATATTCTCCCCACATGGCCATCTGGGATGGGCCCACAGTACCCACTACACCCCCAAAAGGGCCAATTTCAAGGCAATCATAGGGTTATTGCCACCCACCACATCCTACATCTCGAGACAGGTGTCGAGGTGGAGCTCATCACAGTCCTTCATTTGCGAATGAACTGCTCAAGAAGCTGCACTGATGAACTTTCCTTTTCAGAACGATAAATACTTGCAATAACCACTATGTTGCTGTGAATCGATTTCTGTCAGAAAATTAGAGTTGTTCTGAGTTGCTGACAGTACTGGTTTTGTGCTGGGTTGCCTTTCTGGCAACAGCCATTTAAATGTTAGTTATTGATTAGCAGACGGATTGCTCCCGGATGTTGTGACCAAAATGAATTTTGGAAATGAAGCAATTTAAAGTTTGTCTCAAAACCCAATTTCCTCAGAATATTAATAAAGTCAAATTAAAAAAAAAAAGAAATTGTGGATTATGAATGACAGTCCCGGGTTAATGATTTGGCCAGTTATGATTTTCTCCGTGATTCTCATGGCATTTTCTTCCTTCTCTATTCAAAGAAGAATCACTGAGCACCTATCATAACTGAAAACTGCCCTGGCCACGGGCATACAGAAATGACGAAGAGCCAGTCCCTTTCTATGGGACCAGATCTGCAAATGGAGAGAAGAGTCCACCCGTGGCTTTGCTGAGTGATTTGCACATTTTCAGTCAGCAAAAACCTTTATTCTTTCCATTTGCATACTATCCCCAAATGCCTTCAATTAATGAAGGCGCATTAGTGGAATTAAATATAAATTCCTCAAAATTGTATTATTAATGGCATCCTGCTTCAACGACAGTTCCTAGAGGAGATGAGCTTCCCAGCTGGCCCTCTGGTGTCCATCAGCCTCTCAAGGCTAGCACGGGAGTGAATTTGTGCGAGAAATGTATCACCATGAAATGGCATTTGGTTATATAATAATAAATTAACATAATTGAATACATTTGTGTCAATAATTTTGTAGTTATGTCTAATAGGTATATGACAAATGAGCATTTACAGGAAAAGAGAAAAATTTAGATATATAATTTTATAAGATGTTTTCTTGAAAGCAGGTTCTGATAAAGTATACATACAAGTGACCTCAAAATAATGGGCCTTGAGGCACACAGAAGTTGATAAAATCAGAGGTTGGGATAATCACAGTCTGGGTGAAGTGTTAAAATCTGAATAGGCACGTTATAGAGAAAAATCTATTTAAAACTGTATAAAAGAAGAGGTGGTAATAGTAGAATGATTTGAGCAATTTGAGAACATAATTATGACCTTAGGAAGCAACATCCTCTCTATTGCTTCCTTTTCAGTGGCCATGGTGTGCCATCTCATCACCAGCACGCACATATTGTACCCTCAGCACACACACATTGATCTCAATAGCATTTTTCATTAGCGGTACCCAGGGCTCCTTCAAAGGACCTGAGTCCACGTCTGGAAGCAGGGGAAAGTCAGAATGGCCTGAGAAAACTTGCTCTCGCCAGAAAAGCAGGCTGCTGTCAAAAGTGCTGGGCTATTGCTGAAAGGACAAAGGAGTTGACTGAAAAGGAAACGGGGTCCCTCTGGTCAGGTTGTGACAACTTGGATATAACAAAGAATAGCTGGGTCTACAGTTGTCGATTTACCAGAACAAGTTGAATCTGTGAAAAGCCATGAGTCCTTAACGATCAAAAAGGAAAAGTTAGGGACTTCCCTGGTGGCGCAGTGGTTAAGAATCCGCCTGCCAGTGCAGGGGACATGGATTGGAGCCCTGGTCCGGGAAGATCCCACGTGCTGCGGAGTAACTAAGCCCATGCACCACAACTACTGAGCCTGTGCTCTAGAGCCTGTGGGCCACAACTACTGAGCCCGTGTGCCACAACTACTGAAGCCCATGAGCCTAGAGCCGGTGCTCCATAACAAGAGAAGCCACCGCAATGAGAAGCCTGCACACCACAAAGAAGAGTAGCCCCCTGCACTGCAACCAGAGAAAGCCTGAGCGCAGCAACAAAGACCCAACGCAGCCAAAAATAAATAAATAAATTGATTTTTTTTTTAAAAAAAGGAAAAGTTAATATGTGTAATGACAAAGCTAGTTATAACTCACAGAAAGGCTAAAAGCAGTGTGTTTTAGTAAGTAGGTAAGTTCGGCATAATAGGGGAATCTGTTCCTTACTTGAAGTTCGGTATATCTGTTTATGAAATGGTATATCTATATAAGTTGAGAAGAGCAGATAAGTTTACTGTGAGTCAAATATTTCCAGAAAGAGTAGGAACTGTACCCAAACCAGGAAGGGCAGGTCAAGACCAGTGGTCTCCTAAATAACCAAGTAGAAAGAGCGTTCATAATTGGTGTTGCAAGTTAATGGATTGGCCAGATGTCCTAGGAGAATGGCTGATAGATTAAACTGCTCTATGGCCCTGCTAATTATAATGAATGCTAATGAGGCATAATGAAGTTAATTGTAAACTGAGGCCAAACATCATGTACCCAAAATTCAACAGACATAGAAGTGAAGATTGCAAGAACTTGCTAAGTCCTGTTGCCTTAGCAGTTGAACCTGATCTGAGAGAGGGCATCCCAACCAGCAAATGCCTGCTGCCATCTGATTCACCTTGAAGGATTCAGTGTTCCCACTAAGAATCCATCAATCATTGATCCAGAGGCTGTGATTTCCATGCACCTGGGAAGGAGATAATCTTTCTCTTTTGGGTCTGACATTACAATCCTGGAAAAGTACAAAAATATGTTTTATATAGCTAACAAAGAAATTGGTCAAATCCATAGTTCTGATTTTTACAAATAAGCTTAAGTATGGGTACAGTAAAAACTTTTGTGTTAAGGTGTTAGAAGCATTCAAGAGAAGTTATATTAGACTGAAAGTTGTAGTGAAACAGGATAATCTGACTAAGTGTGTAAATGTTTAACGACATTTGATTCATAAGGTTTTAAGTTTATCAGTT